TATATATATATATATATATATATATATGAGACTATGAAGATTTTAATATATTAAATATATATACATTATTTTTAACTATTTTAAAGCAATATGACTTCATATTTCAATAAAAAATCAAGTTTTATAAATTTTTAAAACTACCTTATTTTATACTTCTAAAATCTATCAACTTTATTTGGACTCACCTGAGAAGGAGAATGAGATTTAAAATTTGGTGAATATTTATGATGCGAATGTGACGTGGACCACGGAGCATAATCGTCGCCATTTTCCTCCAGAATAACAGGTTCATCAGGCGTCAAAGAATGTCCATATCTTGAAACAGTACCCTCTTCTAACACATTTTCGCCACCATCATCCATTGAAAGAGACGATCCTGCAGAATCCGTGGAACATGCACCGGAAGCAGGACTAATAGGCATCGAAGAGATTGGTGGTGAATAGGAAACGCCTTTCACATACATAGAATGCGGTCTCATCACATGAGACACAAAATGAGAACTTCTAGGATGACTTATTATCGATGTTGGATGACTTTCGCTGGTAGTACGACCCCTCGATGGCAAGCTATCACATCTGTCACGCCCATTTGCACCTAGAAATGTATTTAATAAGATTTATTGTTAAGAAATATTCAATTTAATAAACAAAATTCGAAAAGCAGCCATCCTCCCAGCATAGCAGCGGTTAGTTCATTTCAAATGATTCCATAGATCTGTATAATATTTACGCATATTTAAATATATGGTTTGTTATTCATTTAAAACATGTATTTTAAACCAAGCAATAAACAATGATTAAAAAGATATTTCGAAATATGGGAATAGTCAGACGAAATATATATATACCACATATATATGTATATTATCAACACGCAAGATATAAATATATATATATATATATTGCGAAAAAGAAAAAAGTAGTCAAGGAAAAATATTTTGCATATGAAGAAGGGCAAGGGATCTGGTAAAAAAAAGAAAACATGACATCATTAGAATTGAATATTGTAGAAAATATTCCATTGATTGTTTTGCCACAACGAGAGGAACGAAAAAGGAAGCTTTTCTTCATTATGAAATATCGTGCAATTGATCGCATGCGAATAGAAGCTTGCATATCCACGATAACGCGAAGATCTCGTGAAGAGATCGTAAATTATATATGACGCAACAACAAGTAGTTTCGATTTCGAATATGTTCATTTGGATTATTTCATAGAAGGGGATAAAGTACAGAGAAAAAAGGGATAGAAAAAAACAGGAAACAGCGAGGCAAAGACACTGAAAGAGAAACAAATATCTCTTGCTGATTTATCGTATGACGAAACAAAAATACATACAGCGTAAAACTGATCTTTTAGATGATTGCATTTGATTGATAATGGCAGCTAAGGGCAGCGACAAGGTTCTCTGATGGGATATTGTCGCGGTTGTGGTTGTGGTGGTCACGGTAGCGGTCATAGTGATGGTAATAGTAGTGGTAGTTGTTGTAGTTGTACTTGTTGTTGTAACATGAACGGATTGGGAATTATTGATGGAATGGGGTTGACTCGCTACCGAATGACGACGTCTAGCGGTAGTGGCACAGTTGGTATTAGTCGAGGCAATCCCAGCAGTCCCACCAGCCCCGGTACCAGCAACGACTGCAAACCACACAGCTCTCACTGTCGCACAATTATTTTTCTTTTTCCATTCTTATAAAAATTTAATCGACGTGCTAATAACGTTGATAATAATTGAGACTCAATTAAAAGAAATTTAATTTGGAGAAAATAATGATTTATATGTATACGAGAGCATCATAAACGTGAAAAGTTATATAAAAGAATTATCATTAATCAATTTTTAGAAATTAAATGAATTTCTGTTTTTAAAGTATGCAATACATTTGTTTTTGTTCTACTCGGCCTCGTTAATATGTATGTCCGTTAACGTCATGTGAATGTTGAAACATATTGTGCAATACTAGGAACTCGCTTTCGAGCACGGCTGTCAATAAAACCTTATATTTTTCGTCGAAAAATTTTCAATTAATCATTAATATTAAATAATTATAGAACTATTTTATAGAAATATTAAATACAATTTGCAATACAATACAAATCGCGTTAAATTGAATTTTTTATCATATGTTATCAATTTTAAATTCAAATATTTTCAAATATTCATAGAAAATAATAAAATATCATTAAGAGAAAAAAGTGAATTATATATTTTTCTTTTATACAATTCCTTTTTCAATCAAAAATCTTTGGTCAGGCTGTGTATAACAAAACTTCTCTAACAATAAATTTGAATATGTTGAATTATAATTGTGTTTATCACCCTTTGATGCCCACATCTTATGAAAGAAAGAAGCATACAACTACAATGACAGAAAACAGACCCGTGATTGTATTGCAAGAAGAGGTACTCTGAGTCTGATTAGACTGCTCTTGATCTTGAACTGGATCCACCTGCTCCTCGTGCGTCCTGTGTTCCTCTGTAATACCCGCAACCCATTTGTGTTATTCTAAAGCTGAGTTTTCAATTGTACAGTTCATGATTCAGCCAATATATCAAGGCATATAAT